TGTATTAGGTAGAGCTGCTGTGTCTCCTGGAATATGTAGAGTGGCTTTGTGTCGTAGGTGTCCTATAGGGGAGTGGCTCAGCCTCCCCAGTCACCTTATCTGCGCCTTCTAGGTGCTCCCCTGTGTGGGCTGTGTGCACTGTCCTGTTGTAGTTGAGCCTTGGTTGCTGTTGGCATCACTGGGAGGAACTGACCCCCAGGCCAATCAGCTGTGAGGACCAGCTGCAACTACAGCCAAAGAGCTGCTGTGCTGGAGATACCCCTATGGAGCAGGATTTACTTCAGTGGAGCTTTGGTGTTCACCAAGTGCGCCCCTTAAGTGTGTCATTCATGGCTGTGGTACGGTTGTAATCCAGCATGGTTGAGTCTGACCACCAGGTGCACTGTCTCTGGGCCTCCCAGGAGGTGCAAAGTCAGCCTGTGCCAGTGCCTTGCCCAGGGCCACCCAGCATGAGCTACACAGCAAACTGTAGTTGGCTGCTACTTGTGCTGGGCTTTGCATTGTCCAGGAGAGGCCAAGCTATGAGCCAATGCAGCTGCAGCTAGTGCCAGGCCTGGGGCCTCTTATCAAGCTGTATGGGGCCCACTGCTGCTTGTTAGATTTTAGGAAAGTCCTAAGCATAAGGCTCGAGAGGCCACTTGCACAGAAAAGCCCCTGGAAATGGCCTGAATGAGCTGCAGGTGGGCAGGGGCGGGGCCTCCAGGAATCACAGGGCGGGGCCAACTGTGCGAGTCAGGTGCTGGCAATTCAAATATGGCCCCTGCCTGCGGGCTGTGTGCGGGGTGGACTCGCCAAAGGAGCCATCGCCTCCGCCAGCCCGTCTGCCTGGGAGGAAGCTGCCCCTCCACCTCTCGCCCGGATTTCAGGCAGGTTAGTTCCTCCCCAAGTGTCCCAGGTCCTTTCAAGCTGCTGCCCAGCGCTGGGGTCAGAGGGAGCGCGTCCAAGGGAGTCCGTGCTCAGGCCCTTTAAGAGGAGCTGCTGGGGCTCCCGCAGCCTCCATGACCCTCAAAGGACAGTCCCGCTGGTTTCACAGCTCGGAGTTGTGGGGGCGTCTCTTCCCAGTCTGGAGCCCTGGGCTGGGGGCCTGCTGTGGGGCTGGGACCCTCTCCCTCCTCCGGGAAAACGCCACCACCGCCTCTGCCGAGATTCCCTTCAGGGTTTCACCCGCGGTACTGGATGTGGACACACGGCCGCGTCTCTGCGATCCAGCCCCGATCCGCCCGCATCTGCGCTCCTCTTACCAGTCTCAGTGCTTCTTCAGATCCCTGGTTGTGTGGCTTCTGTTCAGCCAGATTTCAGGAGGGTCTGAGTGACGGTGGTTCTGTATTTTAGTTGTAATTTTGATGTGGTTGCGGGAGGCGGCGGGTGCAGCTGTTACCTACGCTGCCATCTTCTCAACTTATTCTTTAAAACCGGGCTTGGTCTGCACTTCTGATTCGTAAATTATAATAGATTCCTAAGAGTGAAATCCTTGGGTCAAAGGGGGTAGACATCTTAACGTACACACACAATTAAACTTATCTTCATAAAGAGTGAACCATTTTAGACAGTATACACTGCAGTTTGTTTATGTAATTATTTGGAAATTTTATTGTAGATTGTTTTTATTTTAGAAATGAATAGGCAACAGGAACAAATTAGAGTTCTGATAATGAAGCACAGTTTTCATAAATTTAATAGAATTGACACTATTACAAAAATCTTAGGTGTGCCAAGAGGAGAAAGTTTTCCCCCTTCATTGAACTTCAACCTCATTGGACCCAGCCACCAGCTACCTACATGTTCAACTGGATGAGAAAATATACATTGAAAAGACTGTCTAATTTTTCTTTTTTTAAATTTTTTATTCATTGATATTTAGAGAGAGGAGGAAGGGGGAGAGAAAGAGAGAGACAGAGAAACATCATTTTGTTGTTCCACTTATTTATGCATTTGTTGATTGTTATTTGGGCCCTTACCAGGGATCAAACCCACTTCCGTGGTGTATCAGGCCGATCGTCTAACCAGCTAAGCTACCCAATCAGGGCCTTATTTTTCTATAATGATCATAAATTTCGTGTGCAAGTTTTAAAAATAATGTTTATTTATCCCAGCCAGCATGGCTCTACAGTCAGGCATCAACCTGTGATCCAGATGATCTCGGTTCAGTTCCCAGTCAGGCACATGCCCAGGTTGCAGGCTCGATCCCTGGAATGGGGTGTGCAGAAGGCAGCCAATCAATGACTCTCTCATCATTGATGTTCTCTCTCTCTCCCTCTCCCTCCCTCTCTCTGAAATTAATAAAATAATAATAATGTTTATTTAAATAGTCTTCTGGAATTTTCTTAATCTAATTCAGTACAGAAGAATAAAATTTTACAGCTAAGTAGTTTATCAGGCTTCTAGCAATATGGGGTAGGGCAAAAGTAGATTTACAGTTGTGAATATATGAAACAGTTTATTCTTGTATTATTTATTAATTATTGTACTATTTTCCATACAACCAACTGTAAACCTACTTTTGCCCCACCCTGTACTGCACAGCTTCTCAAATGAAAACATTTCTTTAAAGGGAAAAAATTCTCAAAGGCTCTAACAGCCTATGTCATTTGCCTATTTGCTACCTACCTCTGCTATGCTCCCCTCGACCCCCCTCAACACACACACACACACAGTTCTCTTTTCCTAAAAGAACTCTGATTTTGTTTGGGAAAGCAATGTGCCCAGCCCCACCAATGAAACAAAAATTGTCTAAGCCAATCAGGACAATCTCATTCTCCTTTGTCAGATGCTCACTCTTCCAGATTCTCTTGCAGCTAGAGATGGCCATATGACCCAATTAGGGCAAGATTGCTAGAGGTATTCTGGAGAAAATCTTGCTTTCTGATAAAAGGGGAAGACCTGAGAGGAGAATGGACTGCCACTGCCCCTCCTCCTTTTTCATACTTGAACATGTTGGTGATGCCTGGAAATGCAACAATCATTTTTTGACCATGAGGGGACAAACATGAAGATGAAAAGCTAACTAAGAAAGAAAGAGTATGGGTTCTGAACAATATAGTTAAACTGCTAAATAAATATTAGACGCTCCTACTTCCAAATTTCTTAAGTTAATAACAGATGTCCTTAATGTAAAAACTATTGTTAGTCCGTGTGGTAGCTAAAATACTGGTTCCCCAAAGATGTCCACATCCTGATTCCAAGAACCTTTGAATAGGTTATGTTACATGGCAAGGGGGAATTAAGGTTGCAGGTAGGATTAAGGTTGCTAATCACCTTACCTTAAAATAAGATTATTCTGGATTATCCAGGTGGATCCATTGTCACAGGGATCTTCAAAAGTGGAAGAGGGAGCCTGACCAGTGTAGCTCAGTGGTTGATCGTCAACCCAGGAACCAAGAGGTCACAGTTCGATTCCTGGTCAGGGCATATGCCCAGGTTTTGACTCAATCCCCAACAGGGGGCGTGCAGGAGGAGGCCGATCAATAATGTTTCTCTCTCATCAATGTTTCTATATCTCTACCTTTCTCCCTTCCTCTCTCTCTAAAAAAAGCAATAAAAACATTTTAAAAATAAAAGTGGAAGAGAGACAGAAAGGTAGCAGTCAGAGAGATTTGAACATGCTATGCTGCTGGCTTGAAGAAAGAGGAAGGAACCACAAACCAAGGAATATAGGCGGTGGTGTTTAGAAATTAGAGAAGCCAAGGAAACAAATTCTCCCCTAGAGCATCTAGAAGGAAAAAGTCTGGATTAATCAGTTCAGAATGCCATAACAAAATAGTATAGACTAAGTGGTTTAAACAACAGAAATGTATTTTTTCACAATTCTGTAGCTGCGAAGTCTAAAATCAAGATGCCAACAAATTTGGTTCCAGGTGAGGACTCTCTTTCTGGCTTATCTTTCTGTGTCCTCACATGGCAGAGAGAAGGGGAGGAAGCTCTCTAACTCTTTTTATAAGAGCATTGATCCCATCCTGAGGGAGCCACCCTTATGACTTCATCTAAACCTAGTTATCTCCCAAAGGCCCCCCTCTCCAAATACCATCATATTAGGATTTATAGCTTTAACAAATTAATTGGTGGGCACAGGTCAGTCCGTAGCAGCACCCCTGCCAACACCTTAATTTTATCTCAGGGAGACCCATTTTGGACTTCTGACCTCTAGAACTGTAAAATAACAATTTTGTGTTGTTGTTAGCCACTGTTTGTGGTAATTTGTTATAGCAGCAATAGGAAACTAATACAGTCCAACATTCTGTTACTTGCAGCCCAACACAATTCTAACTGCTACACAAATTTCCAGGAACAGTAAATAGTTAATACTTGAGTACTTACATGCTAGACATGATTCTAAGAGCATTTAATCCTCAGAGCACCACCATGAGATCAATACTATTATAATCTCCATCTCCAATTTAAGTAACTTGCCCAAGGCCTCACATTTAGGCAGTGCCCACATTTAACCCAAATATTCTAACTCCAGAGTCCGTCCTCTTAACCACTATGCCTTAGAATATATCAAGGACCAGAATTTGAGAAACTCTCACTTGAGGAACTAAAATCTTAGTTCCATGAAATTGTAAACTATCACTGCATAACAAATTTTGTCTTAAGTTTTAAAATAATTTTTTAGACCATCATTGAAATAAAAACTCAGAATTTAAAAACTCCCTTAGAATTTGCAACACTCAAGAATACAAAGGATCCTGGTACAAGAAACACTAGAAAACTATATTATCTTACGCATGAACACTAAACAAGATTTATTTCTGATTAAATAAAAAGAGTTGTTTACCAAGTGTAAGTTTCTTAAGCATTTTGATTTATTCTAGAACATTGGTTCTCAGATTTTAGCATGTATCAGAATCATTTCAGGGGGCGGGGCTTGTGAAAGCACAGATTGCTGGACTCCATTCCCAGAATTTCTGATTTCAATAAATCAAAGGTGGGGCGCAAGAAGTTACATTTCTAACAAGGTCCCATATAATCCTGATACTGCACCTGGAGAATCATTATAGAAAAAGCATGAAGTTTCTAATACCATAAATGTTTAAAAATATTATTTCTAAACTGTATTATGTAACTATTCTAATTTTTATTCTCTGTCAAAAGGTAGAGAAAGGAAGGTTCTTAAAAATTCATTTAATTTAATCAATTAATATCCCAGTTTATACCGTATGGTAACAGAATATTCTTAAATTAGGACTCACATTAACAATTTTATTTTCAAAAATTACTGTGTTTCCTAAATGCCAGGCACATGCTAGACTTTGGGGATAAAATGATGAATAAGTCACTAGCTCTCTCTCTCTCAAGGAATTCCCAGCCAGTAGGGAGACCAATGTAAAAATTATAATATGAAAGAAAAAGATACAGATTAAATGCTTCAAAACCAAGCGAGAGCAGTAACTCTACCCAGGAGACTGTCAGAGGGAACTCCAGAAATGAGGTGACATTTCAGTGGGTCCAAAACCACACAAAAATTGTTCTGCAGTTCTTGTAGGTGGGAACAGGCATTTTCGGCAGAGTGCATTGGTTGATCACAAGGCAAGCAACTGGATGTGGACATAAAGGGGAGGAAGTGAATAGAGAGGGTGGAAGTGAGGCTGTGAAGAACAGCTGGAGCCAATGGTCATGACTTGGTCAGAAATCCAAAGTTCAGTTCAACAGCTACTCTGTCGGGATCCAATGCTAGGCACCCAGAGAGAGGAGAGAGGCTCATGAAAAGCCTCACCCTCCACCCCAAGGGTCTGGATTTAGAACTTATTTCTGTCGTCTTCCTTTCTTCTTTCCTTTTTTTTTCTTTAGAATTTATTTCTGAGATGTCTTTTTCTCTCTCTCACCTTAAAATTAATTTCTGTTTCATTTCTGTAAGGAAAAGGCAGCTTTAATCTCCCCCTGAATTGCTGAGGGAAAATTTGAGGCCAGTAAAGTTTAAGCAACCTCTTTACCCAGCAAGTGGGCGTGCATAAAAACCCTGGCATTCTGGTCAACCTAATGGTTGGGCCTGAGGTGCAGCTATCAAGCGTGGGCATGCCTGGGAACACTGATGCTCATTTGTCCCCCTGTAATAGTTTTAGTTTGTTTACAGTCTCCTGTGGCTACCTACAGACAACAAATTGTTCATTCCTGCCTGTTATTCTTAGCACAAAAGAACTCACTTAGCTTTGGCTTTATGACTGCTGTCTCAAAACTAGGCTACTCATTCATAAATGACAGTTTAGTTCTTTAAAATGGTAAATACTTAGTAACAGTACTGGTATTCAAAGTGTACATGAACACTGTCTACTAGCTAGCTGGTGAGAAGTATAAAAAATTATGATTTCTAAGTAAAATAAATGTAATTCAAAATTTGGAAAAAAGTTTTGCCCTGGCCCAGTGGCTCATTAGTTGGGTCGTTGTCCCATACACCAAAAGGTTTTGGGTTCAATTTCTGGTCAGGGCACCTATCTAGGTTGCAGGTTCATCCAGGTTGGGAGCATACGGGAGGCAACCAATCAATGTTTCTCTCTCACATCGATGTTCCTCTCTCTCTTCCTCTCTCTCCCTCTCCCTTCCTCTCTCTTCCTCTCTCTCTCTAGAATCAATGAAAAACATATCCTTGGGTGAGGATAAAAAGATACTTGGAAGAAAATTTATTTTCAAATTAGTTTCATCTAGCTACTAAGATCATACATATATGGCACTCAACTACTTTGTGTTTACTTTTATGCATATTTCCCAGACTTAATAGAAGCTCTGAAACACTGCCTTTGTTAGTTCCAAATTCCTAAACTACATTTATGTTCAAACACCAACTGTTTTGGAAAATTTTCAATTTTCTGTTTAAGTTTACAGTTCTCATCATCGTGACTTACCATTTATCAACCAAATTTTTAAAAAATACTTTGACTACTTGAAAATAAGACCCACATTCTTGCCCCCTAAGAAGATCAAGGATTCAAATATACAGTGACGGAAGGAGATTTGACTTTAGGTGGTGAACACATGATGCAATATACAGATGATGTATTGTAGAACTGTACAAATGAAACCTATATAATTTTGTTAACTGATGTCATCCCAATTAATTTAATAAAATTTATTTTTTAAAAAGAAGTTCAAGGAATTAGAGCAGACTCCAGAAAAATTATAAACATACTTTATGATCCTTTCTAAGTAAGAAAAACATGATTCAGTACTGTCTGTAGTAGTAAAACCCTTAGTATATGCCAAAAATTGCTTAAGCTCTTTCTGCTACTCTATAAATAAATTGTATTTGACTATCCAACTCTATTGCATGTTTATATTTTGAATTCTGAATTTTTGGACAGTCTTACAGTTAAAGACATTGGTCTTTTTGTACACTGGTAGAGTCTTGCTCTGTCTTGAAATTAAATGAGGAAAACTGGGTCTACAAAGTCATTAGAGGAAAAATACTATCTGTCTTTACATATCTACTACTTGGATTTAACTTTAGCAATAGTGGGAAGTAGTGATTTTTTAAAATGTTATGATTATAACAATTCCACGAATAAGTAAACAAAATAATAACTCTTAAAACCTTGTACCCCTCTATATGTATCCTTCTTTTTATGTACACTCGTAAATGCGTGCTTACTATAAATATATGTATTATATATACTCATATATATAATACCTAGTTAATGCAAAAAAAAAAAACAGTAATGAAGGAGTAGATGAACAATAAAGACATAAGACATATAGAAACCAGTAACAAAATGACAGACTTAAACCCTATCTGATCAGTAATCACCTTAGATATAAATTACATTAAATGTAACTATCATTCCTCATTATTCTTCAGTATAAGTTAATAAATTCTAATTCCAAATTTTACAACATATTCTATAACAAATTTACTTGGCCTGAGCCTATCTCTCAAAACTTCCAGAATGTGAAAGCAAAATATAGTTGATGAATACCAAATCTATACTAATTAGCACATATTAATTTCCTCCTACACACATCCACTTGGATTGTACATGGCATCTCTAAATCAACATACCCAACATTCCTATATTTCCTATGTCAGTTGCTGCCCCTACCATCCAACCCTAAATCAAAAATAATTCATCCTTGACTTCTTTTAACTCACCCATCCATGGCCCCTCTAATCAACCACTAAATCCTGCTGAAAATAGCTCCTAAATCTCTCTCAAAGACATTCTCTTATACCTATCCCTAATACCACTGTTCTAGTTTAAGTGCTCATTGTCTCTCCTAGGCCTTCTAGCCTTCTCTCTTCTCCTCTCAATGTCCACCCTCCCCACTTCAGCCAAAATGATCTAATTTGAGGTTGATTATCAACCTAAAAACAAAAGCCAGGGATTATTCAAGATCTTGTTCCCTGGCATATGTCATTAGTTTGGCTCAAATAAACCCATAAAAATTCTCTACAGGTCTGGATTCT